CACACACACACACACAGTGGGTAGACAAAGTCATCACCTACAAGGAAAGGTGCCATGAAAGAAATGTACCAAGTTGTCAATTCTGGTTGAAATGGTTGTTAGAGAATTAAAGTTACCTCAGGATTTTGTATTTGTGCACTATTCAAAATTTAATGATCTGATTGTTACTTTGATAATGGAGAACACACATTCCCTAATTGTTGACCTAAAGGAGTCATATGTATTATCAGTGATTAAGTACAATAAGCTACGAATTGCCTTACTACTTATTTATTCAGAAATGTAAGCCTGTTCAGAGTATTTTGAGGAAATGATTTATGTTTCATGTATTTTCTGCTACATCAGATAAAAATAAAGATTTTGTAAAACTCCAAGTAGCGCTAAGTCTATATTCATAATACAGCGGTGGCCCATAAAGTGGCTTTTAAACCACAGAAAACTCGGAATGCGGTACTGGTCAGTGCTCTCCCATCTGTGGTTTCTCTCTTCCCACGATCTTGGTTGTGCGCCCCTGTGCCAGAGCCCCGCGGACAGCCACGCGACAGGACCTGTGGTCTCCGCCCAGCACCAGGCTGACCCTTCCATTCTGCTCGACTTCTGCCGCCTTGCTGGCCAGCTGCTCGCCGGCTCTTCCCACAGACCGTGGATTCTTCACAATTCCAAACGGACTGTCATCTGGGATGTCATCAAAGACCAGGTCCCCATAATCTCTTACATCACACCCTAAAATTGAAATAAGTTTTGAGTTACTAAGTAAATAAGTAGATTGCAAATCAGTCTCCGTAGGGTGATTAACCCCAGACTTTTAAAATGCATTCGAGCGTGCCATTTGCCTGTTTATCTATATGTAGGCATGTGCACATATATACACTATGCAAACACGACGTGCTTTTGTTTTGTCGTTATTATTACATTTCATTTTATTCTCTTTCACAAAGAGGGGTCCTCTTGCTGGTAGTCTGCTTCCTGCAGCCCCTGCCTCCTATTTTCAGTTCCCCCAACCCAGCGCTCACACACGCAGGTCATCTTACTCCACAGTTCGCTGGAAAGACAAAGCGCCCGGGTGAAGATGTTCATCCAGCGCTCCGGCTCTGTCCTCCTGCGCTGCTTCCTCTACAGCCTGCGTCTCTACGGCCCTAGCCAGCGCTGCAATCCGGGTGTGTCACTCCTGACCCCCTCCATTTTCCCAGGGGATAGCCTTCAGCGTGGGGAGGCATCAGGCTTAAAAATTACCTTGTTCTTTAAGTTTCTCCAGCAGACCAGCCTTCCGCAATGCTGCAGGGCCGCCTTCCACCCCGCCTCGTGGCTGAACAGTTACAAAATAAAGAACTTCAGGCGTGTATCATGGCCATCCTCACAGCATGAATCCCTTTTCATTATGTAATCATTTGAATGGTGACTATCATTTTTTGAGCTCCTACAGAGCCAGGATTGACGCTCCAGCTCTCTTGAAATTTGGGGCACCATATTTTGTGATGTAGAACTGACATCTAGCAGGTGCTCAAAAATCCTATTTGATAAAACTCTCTGGCCATTTTCCCTTCTCCTTTTAGAGCTGTGGTTCTCAACCTTCCTAATGCAGTTCCTTTAATACAGTTCCTCATGTTGTGGTGATCCCCAATCATAAAATTATTTTTGTTGCTACTTTGTAACTGTAATTTTGCTACTGTTATGAATTATAATGTAAATATCTGATATGCAGGATGTATTTTCATTGTTACAAAGGGGTCGTGACCCACAGGTTGAAAACTGCTATTTTAGAGGACTAATCTTACAGACCTCCTAGTTTACATTATATCTGCTATGACACAGTCATTAGATTTCCCAGAGTAACTTTTTCTAGCATTATATTTTTGGTTTGATTCGAGTTGCTTATCTGTCCACTTTGGAAACTGCTTTTTCAGCCCCACTGGCTCTCCAAGCTGAGCCCAATTCCTAACCAGCCTCAAGTGTAAGCTCTGCTCTAGAGTGGGGCCTCTGAGGAGGTCTCAGTGCAGATTGGGGAACAGGCTTTGCAATACAACTGTTCTGTCTAGAATCATGCAAGTAGGACCATGTGACCTTAAGCAAATTGCCAAACCTCTCTGAGCCTTGGCTGACTCAACTCTGAGATAAAAAATAATACCCACCCCACTGTTTGCTCACTGTCTTGCAATGAGGCGAGGCAGGGAATGGAGCCCTTTCTCACACTCAGCTCTTTAGTCATCTGCCCTCTAATCCTCTCCTTTTGCCTGACAGACAGGCTTTTACTTCCTTCAGGTGGGAACCCATGCTTACAGGTGGTATATTGGCCATTTTATTCCTTCTGCTTTATGGATTAGTGTAGAGAAACCTCTCTGTCAGTCCTTACAAGCACGAGACAGTACACGTTAGTCTCATGACCAGGTTTAATGGGAGAAGGACTTGGGTGGTGGTGATCACTCCCTTTTGTCAGATTTTGAAATTCTGCCTTTGTTATAACCTGTTCCAGCCAAGGGTATTGTGGATTTTAAAAGAAACACTCTGGGCCGGCAGAATGTCCTTGTATTCTGGGAGAGACCTTTGCAGGATTCCAGGGGAAGAGGCGCAGTATTTACTGACAGTCCAAATGCAGTTGGGGTCTCTCACCCTGGCCTCTCTCAATCGGTTTTGCAATAAGAAGCCAGAGTACACAGCAAGAGTTCAAAATTAGGAGGGTAAAATGCTGCCCAGATCCTGGGAAACCTGGAGAAAGACTCTAATTTTTTTTTTTAAATCAACCTTAAGAAAATCAGGTCAAACACAGTGTCTCATTTGTTTTTGTCCCTTTTTTCCCTCTTTTTTAACACAGACCTACGCTGAAGTCTCAGGTCTTCTGTCGTTTCATCCGTTTATCAGATGAGTGTGGGTAAAAAGGAGCATATATCTAAATGCCACTGGCAGGTGTGGATTCACAGCTGGTGACACTTAGGCAATCTAGAAGCTTCATACATCTATTCACCCTTTTAGAATTGCCAACTTGCAGAAGGATTTTCCTTCCTTCCTTCCTTCTTTCTTTTCCTTCTTCTTTCTTTCTTTCCACCACATATTAAATTTTTCTAGACAATAATTACACAGCTAAACAAATGTGTTTTAAGGCTGTCTCTTGCTCTATAAACACACAGTAACATCCAAAGCAGCAAGAGCAACGAAGCCTGAATGAGTGCTACAATGCAGAAATAGCCCATTTCAATTACAAGAAAAACTCTTTCTCTGACAAACTTCATTCAGTGGGTTCAAATGAAATTGGCTTTGGCTGAGCCCAGGAGCCCAAGAGTAAATGGACTTGTGACTATATATAGTGAATATATACAATGTCAAAAAATGGTGAGAGTGTACATGTGAAACTTTCTAAATGTAGAATATAAATGTCTTAACACAATAACTAAGAAAATGCCATGAAGGCTATGTTAACAAGTTTGATGAAAATATTTCAAATTGTACATAAAACCAGCACACTGTACTCCATGACTGCATTAATGTACACAGCTAGGGTTTAATTTTAAAAAATGGAAAAAAAGAACAGCAAGAAAAGAAAATATACCATACATATATATAGGTTATATATGATTTATTTTTAATAAATTTTTATAATGAATGTCTCCAAAAAAATGGTGAGAGAACGTTGAAATATGGATTTCTAGGCCAGATTATATCAGGAGACTTAACTAATCAGACGTATACAAATTTTCAAGTACAAAAATTTCAAATAAAAGCAAATCTTCTCACTCACCTGTCCCTTTCCAAAGGGAGCACCGATAATGCCTACGGTTTTGGACTTGGAACTCATGCTCTGCACCTGTGCTCTCCAGTAGTCACTAGCCTCTGCAATCCTTAATCATCTGTTTACTTTTATTCTAATAGGGCAGCTGGTCCCACCTACTAAACCAAAGAATGAAAAGTCAACAGTCTTGCCAGTTCTTCATACATGGAATTACCATGATTCCTCTAAGTATGTTTTTACTTCACACCCTTTTAAAAAAATCCAGCCAGATAGCATTAATCTTTCCTTAGACCACTGACAATTACATGTGATTCACAACCATGTAAAAAGTCCTATGAGTCTAGCTGTGCAAACTAAGGGCAGGGCACTTACCTCCCTCAGGGCTCTACACCTTTTTGCAGAACAAGGACTGAGACTGGGACTCACATCCTGAGTTAAGATTTCAAGGGCAAGGACAAATGGTTAGTCTATGAGCTGTATTTCATATAGCACTAAGGTACACGCTTAGTGAAAGCATACCATCTCCCTTTTTGTTTTTATTTAAAGGAAACATTAGTTGATTCATAAGCCAAAGGTGATACTTTTTCTAAAATATGACAAACAATAAAATAATTGTTGCAATCATATCATATTCAAGGCATAGAAATAAAAAATAGTTAACACTGAATTTTTGTCATGTGCTAGCTGTTTTTCTGTTTTATATTACCTTATTTGATCCTTATGTCATTTTTATGTTAAGTCTCATTAGTAACATTATACCAATGAAGAAACTGAAGCTCAGAGAGGTTGCCAAAGTTGATGCAGATGTTATAGAGAAAGACTCCTAGATTAGTCCTGGGCATTCTGGATCCATCTAACCACTGAAATTACAGGCTAAATGCTAGGGAGGTGTCAGCTATTAACCAGCTGTGTGTCCCAGGGATGTCTGTTATTGTGCCAAAGTATGAACTTAAAATAAATGCACTTGAAATCTTCTTCTTCTTCTTTTTTTTTAGACAGAGCTTCAAGCTGTCCCCCTAGATAGAGTGCTGTGACATCATAGCCCTGGGCTCAGGTGAGTCTCCTGCCTCTGCCTCCCAAATGGCTAGGACCACAGGCGCCCACCACAATGCCCAGCTATTTTTTGGTTGCAGCCATCATTGTTGTTTGGTGGGCCCCAGCTAGATTTGAACCCACCACCTCAGGTGTATGTAGCTGGTGCCTTAGTCACTTAGTTACTTAGTTACTTGAGCCACAGGCACTGAGCCTTTAAATATTAGTTAGTTACTAGTTACTTAGTTACTAATTACTTAGTTATTTAGTTAGTTAGTTGCTAGTTACTTAGCTACCAGTCACTTAGTTACCAGTTACTTAGTTACTAGTTACAGGTTACTTTGTTACCAGTTACTAGTTACTCAGTCACTAATTACTTAGTTATTTAGTTACTTAGTTACTAGTTCCTTTGTTACTAGTTACTGGTTACTTAGTTACTAATTGCTTAGTTATTTAGTTACTTAGCTAGTTACTTGGTTACCAGTTATTTGGTTACTAGTTACTTAGTTAGCTACTAGTTACTAGTTCCTTAGTCACTAGTTGCTTAGCTAGTTACTAGTTACTCAGTTGCCAGTTACTAGTTACTTGGTTACTAGGTTACTAGTTACTTACTAGTTACCAAGTTACTAGTTACCAAGTCATTAGTCACTTAGTTACTAATTACTTAGTTAGTTACTAGTTACCTGGTTACTAGTTGTTGGTTACTTGGTTGCCAATTACTTGGTTACTAGTTAGTTAGTTACCTGTCTGTTAGTTGCTAGTTTCTTAGTTATTTACCAGTTACTAGTTGCTAAGTTATTAGTCACCTAGTTACCATTTACTTAGTTACTAGTCAGTTATTTAGTTACTTGGCTAGTTACTAGTTGCCTGGTTACCAGCTACTTGGTTATTAGTTACTAGTTACTAAGTTGTTAGTCACTTAGTAACTGATTAGCTAGTTACTAGTTACTGGTTGCTTGGTTACCAATTACTTAGTTACTAGTTGCTCAGTTACTAGTAACTGGCTACTTGGTTATTAGTTCCTTAGTTACAAGTTACTAAGTTATTAGTCACTTAGTTACCAATTACTTAGTCAGTTACTGGTTACTGGTTTGCTAGTTACTAGCTTCTTAGTTGCTAGTTACTGGTTACTTGGTTACTAGTTGCTTAGTTACTAGTTGCTGGTTACTAGTTACTTAGGTAGTTACTAGTCACTAAGATATTAGTCACTTAGTTACTAGTTACTTAGTTACTAGTTACTAATTACTTAGTTATTAGTTACTTAGTCAGTTACTTAGTTACTTGGTTATTAGCTAGCTACTTAGTTACTAGTTACTTGGTTAGTTACTAGTTACTTAGTTACTTGAGCAATAGGTGCCAAGCCCTTAAATATTATTCTAACTTTATAGGATTGTAATTTAAAAGGAAGATTCACTTAGCAGAAACTTATTTTTCCTATTAGAGAAGCTTAGCGCCCCATGGAGAGGACGTGTGGGGGGTTTGTTTCTCCTTCCCCCACACCTCTGGCAGTTAGCAGGCTCTTGACCTGCTGGAGAGCTATTCTGCTACCCATGAATCTGAAGGCTGTGGCCACCACTGAACTGGACGCTTCCTGAAAATAAAGCATTGGTTTGCTCACCCCTTCAGGTTTGGTCCCCATGGCCATGGCCTGGAGCTGAGATGGTGAGGACCACACAGTTTCTCCAGCAACAGTATGCCTTTGCCCTCCCAAGGGAACTGCACCCTTCAGTCTTTCTGGTACCTGTTCCCACACAAACAGTTCTTCTTGCCCAGACTTTGATGGGTACGAGTGGACCTGTGTGATCCCAGTGTTTAGATATTCCTGGTGGGCTACCTTTCAGGCAGAGGAACAAGGAGGGTAAGAGTTCTGGCTCCTTCTATTCAGACTTTTTTCCTCTACCACCACTCCCCTACCCCCTGATACCGAGAATATTATTAGCTGAGACTTTCAGAAACCGCTGTCTCCCCTCTGTCGGTGGGCCTACCACACCAAGGCTTCCACACTGAGAGAGGCCCATACTTTTCCCATGAAGACCTGCAGTGGAACGAAGGGTTACAGAATCAATATACACAAATTAGTAGCATTTCTATAGACCAATAACAGTCAAGCTGAGAGTCAAATCAAAGACTCAATACCATTCGCAATAGCTGAGAGTCAAAACAAAGACTCAATACCATTCACAATAAAAAGAAAATAAAATACTTAGGTATGTACTTAATCAAGAAGGTGAAAGATCTCTGTGAAGCACTGAAGGAAGAAATCACAGATGACACAAACAAATGGGAAAAATGGTCTTGTTCAGTGATCGGTAGAATCAACGTTGTTAAAATGTCCATACTGCCCAAAGTGATTTATAGATTCAATGCTATCTCCCTTAAAAATAATATTATGCTTCATTTGGGGGGAAAAAAGAGCCCAAATTGATAAAAAAAAAATCTTAAGAAAAAAATTCTGGAGGCATCATATTACCAGACTTCAAACTGTATTATATAGTAACCCAACAGCATGCTATTGGTA